ATAAGAGGAGCCTGCAGTCCACACACACACACACATACACACACACACACACACACACACACACACACACAAAAGAAAACTCCGCACTTAAACAGCCTAAAACAAAAAAAACAAAAACCCCATAGGCACTCCCCATCCACCCCCCACCCCCGCATAAAGCCCTTCTGAGATGAAGTACTGGCGTCCCTCTCGGCCTTCGACACCTCCCTCCACAGAGTGTCCAATTCAATCAGAAAAAAAGCACTAGGCTTCACTCTGTGCTCAAACAAACTGTTGAATAGGAAAAAAATCAATATACAGTCTCAGAACATTAAAGAATCTTTTACAGAAGAAGCTTAACTCATGCAGCTCTATTACAAACTATTCAGCTCAGAGTTTATAAACACGGACACCAGTAGAAAAGACCTTCAGGTGTCCGTTATATTTCACAAGAAGTTCAGCTGGATACCGAAGTTCCATTTTTTTTCTCCCACAGTATCTTCAACACCTCGCTGAACTCACGTCGTTGCTGCCTCACCTCCGGTGTATAATCCGGAGAGATGAGCACCTTATGGCCCTGGTATTCCAGCGCTCGGTCTCTTCGCAGCTGTAGAATGAGTTCTTTTTCCCGATAAAAGTGGATTCGTGCAATAATTGGTCTTGGTGCTGCGCCTGCCGCCGGTGGAGGTCTCAGCAAGCGGCGTGCTCGGTCGACAATAACCGGGGATTTAAGATGATCCTCCCCCGACGAGTCTAGGGATCAAATCTTGAATAAATTCAGCCGGTCTGGGTCCCTCTGCTTTCTCAGGGATGCCAATGATCATAATGTTGTTTCGGCGCGATCGACCCTACAAGTCATCCACTTTTAATGTCAGTGCTTTATTCCTGCTCTCCAAGTTGGAGACCACTTTCTCCAAGCGGGACCGGCGATTTTCCTGATCTAGAGCCTGCTCTTCCATGGATTTCACTTTCTCCAGCAGGTCTCTTTGGTATTCCTGTACTGCATGAAGAGTATGCTCCAAATTGTCAAACCTTTCGTTTATGTGACGGAGAATTTTGTCGGAGATCTTCTCCCATAATAGCCAATGCGAACAGTAGGGTTCAGCGTTGGCCGAAGTCATAATTAGTGATGAAGAGTTAATCTGTTTACCAGCTTTTCTGGGCATCTTTTGTTGTATACGGTATAAGCTTCAATTGTTGGCTTGTTTTGCGAAGAGAAAAATGAATTAGGAGACCGTAAAAATACGTTTGGCACGGAGGAGCGTCAGGGAACGCGTCTATTCCATGTGCTGCTCCGGAAGTCGGCCAGACTTACTGTACTTATAAACTACGGACATCACACGAATATAGTGACGTGAGACTAAACACATGATCACATTTTGTGTAAATCAGAGTTTCTTTTAAATCAGCTGTACAGGAGTGTCTGCTGTGTTGAACAGGAAACAGGAAGTGTTGAGCTGAAATATGATCAGGATGATTCTGGGCTCAAGTGCGTCGCAGGTTCACGCTCTGACAGCTCTAACAGACTAGCATCCAGAGCAGATGATCTGAAGCGTGTGCTGTGGGTGCAGATGACCCCTGACCCCAGCGACAGGGGTGATTACATAACAGTTTCATGTTGTGAGACGATAAACGGGCTTCTTCATAAACATCATGTTCAGGTTTTCAGTTTCTTTTCTCCTGAAAAGAAACTGAAAACCTGAACATGATGTTTCAGGTTTTCAGTTTCTTTTCTCCTGAAAAGAAACTGAAAACCTGAACATGATGTTTCAGGTTTTCAGTTTCTTTTCTCCTGAATAGTAACGGAAACATTTCTGTTTAACTGACGCCCCTTCAGCAGGAGCCAACATGTCTCAAACGTCCGCAGAGTACCTGGGAATGAGTCACTACCTGATATATCCTCCTAAATATGGGCGGAGCATGAACACACCTGGGAATCTTCCGCGTTGGGTTGATGAGTCGACTGAAGTCGTACTGAGCAGAGTGTGGCAGGGCTCACTGGGAGATCGGCTGTTTTGTTTTGTATTACAGATCTTTTATTATTTTAGATCATCCTGCACCGTGGACATGGAGGCTCAGAGAAAGAACAATGGATCGAATGCGATTTTTATTCACAAACATCATTTATGTTTGCATGATTTGAAAATGCACAATCAGCATTTGAGGAACATCTATCTTCTAAAAACCAACGTGCCTGAATACCCTCAACCCGAGTTTCACGTGTCCAATCTGAAACACGACACACAGCAAGGAGGGTTACTGAGGATCTGGAAGGACGAAGGCTTCAAGGATCCTCACGGAGGCCTGAAGGATGCAGACGGCCTGTCCCTGGTGTGGTGGAGTCTGGCTGTGGGTCCCCAGGAGATCCAGTCAGCTGAGACCAGGCTCCTGGACAGGTTCTACCCAAACCGGATAGAGAAGCAGGCTGAACAGAAGCCGAGCTACCTGGACGAGATCTACCCAGACCTGAACAAGCAGAAGAGCTTCCTTTGGAAGTTTGCCACCTCTCCGGCTTTCGCAGAGAAGTCCAGGTTTGGATCGTACCGCTTCACCTTCCCCCTGCACGAAGTGGTGACCGCCTACAGCCAGCAGGTACTGGTGGTGGGGGTGGGGGGGTTAAATCAATGTGTAGCTCACTGATTGATTCTGCATGTTAGGAAAACATAATTTCATTAGTACTTTTATTTTTAAAACACTGAGTTTATCCATCAGCTCAGACTGAAAGAGACACGATGGCCTGGATTAAGACCTTAAACTCCTCAAGGCTTTAAGGTCTAACAGCCACTTAAAAACCTTGAAAGTCATGTGACCAGGAGTAATCTGCCAACCAGCTCCAGTGTGTTTGTGCAGTTCAATTCATGTTTATTGATATAGTGCCGAGTCACAACAACAGTCACCTCATTGTAAGGTGTAGTTAACGTGTAGCTAGTGTGTAGTTAGGGTGTGGTTAGTGTGTAGTTAGGGTGTGATTAGTGTGTAGTTAGGGTGTGATTAGTTTGTAGTTAGTGTGTAGTTAACGTGTGGTTAGTGTGTAGTTAGGGTGTAGTTAGGGTGTTAACTTGTTTCCATTCTGTGCAATTCGAGTATGAACTACTTTTGGACAACTTTTTTTTCTTCCCCCTTCTAATCTGTAGTGATGTTCGAGCCACTTTGCGGAGGCTTTCTTATAAAGCAGCAAACTATTTCTCCAGGCTAAATGATGATCCTCTAATTTGTGACACGCCATTTCCTCTCCAGTTACGAGTCATCTGCTTTAGGCTACGGTTTGAGAATTATACCACGGAGTCAGGTACTTCTGATTAGAGACCTTAGTTTTCACAGGAGCTACAGTATCCAGAGTCGTACGTAGTGAGGAGGTGAAATTATTAACAAGATAATCGACCTCTGTTGGGGTAGCGTTCAGATAGCTGCTCTGCTCTGTGTTGGTACAGGGCATTGGAGATGATAACAGTGGGTGGATTATATTGTTGTGTGATTGTTAAACGGTGTACAGTGTGTCAGGTTAGTGACCTTTGTGTGTGTCTCTCACACTAAAATTCCTGTTGTTGTCTCCAGTTTTGCTCCGGAGCTCCGCCCATGATAAAGGTGTTCAAGACCGCCCTCTACAATCAGGAAGTGCAGTACTCTGTGCTGGTCCACAGCCCGGCCAGAGAGAAGCTCTTCTCAGAGTATCCTTCGCTTGCTTATGATGACCCGAACGCCGTCTTCACTTACAGAGACGGACACTTCATCTGGAGGTCACAGGCCATGTGCGAGACACACAGGCAAGTGTTAAAAGTCTCCACTGAAATAAATGTGATCGATCACTTTGATGGGATCTACCACTGATGATGATGATGATCTGCTGTAATATTATAAAAACCAGAAACAAAGCCAAAGATGATGGACACAACGAGTCCATGCAGTGTCTGATATTCACGTTGTCATTGGTCAGTTTGCTTCATCTCGACCTGAGCATCAGATTTGATGCTGGCACTGAGAGCTCTGTCAGGGAAGCAGTCTGAAGTCCTCTGTGAGCTGATTGGTTGAAATGCTTTTCGTGTCTCTGACTTTCTTCTCAGTTGGAAATTGACCCAAAAACCTGACAAAAACCAGATGGAAGCTGATGGTCTATGTTCTTTTCAACGTCAGTTTTATGTTTGGGATAATGTCGCCATCGCCCTGCACATGGATCATGGACAGGTACCTGCCCCTCCTACTCCTCCGTCTATAGAGACGCCTGAAGCATTTTACAAGAAGCTGTTGCCTATAAATTTGGTAAAAATTGAAACAAAGTGTTGAAGTTTCTCACCTTGTTTCTCTGCTCGGTTTCTTTCTCAGGTGCTGAAGTTTGACTGTGATCAACTGAGAGCAAACCTCACGTACTGTGAGAAACCTGAAGAGGATGTTCTAACAAAGCTTTCGTTAGGTGAGAAACCTGAAGAGGATGTTCCACCTGGAATCCAGTATGACAGTTTTGAAAATGCTAAATCACTGGTTGGACATTTGTGGCCTGACGCAGGCTTCCCCCTGGGGAAGGAGCCTTCACTCAGCCTTGTTTTCTAAGGTAATGAATCAGTAATTAAAGGAATAGTTTCTGTTGTCATTACAAATACACAAACGCTGACACATGGAGGTTTACATAACTACTAAAGGTGAAGGTAACAATCCTCACCTGGGATCTATTTGCTTGTAATTATGCGTGTGTGAAAAGTCAGTGAGTTTCTGGCCTGCAGATAGGTCACTGCATGTTTCACACTGATGACACCACCGTGGTTGGTCTCTGATGGAGCTGAGACAGAGAACAGGGTGGAGGTAGAGAACTTGTCCCGCTGGTGCTCAGAAAATAACCTGAAAAGCTGAACGTCCTTCAAACCAAAGAGCTCATCATGGACTTCAGGAGGCACAGACAGCGCCCCCTTCCCCGGCATTATAAATGGAGAACAGGTGGAATCTGTCTCCACCTTCAGGTTTCTACGCACCCACATCTCCACCAACCTCACCTGGACCCACACCACCATCACCCTGGTAAAGAAGGCCCAGCAGCAGCTGCCCCTCCTCCGTGTCCTGAGGAAGAAGAACCTGGACCAGGAGCTGCTGCTGACCTTCTCCCCTCCTCAGTGGAGAGCGTGCTCCTCCTGCCTGCTGTTGGTATTCAGGGGCCTCAACTGAGAACAGCAAGGCTGCACAGAGGGTCATTAACACCACCCAAAACATCACTGCCAACCCTGGAGGCCATCGCCAGCTCCTCCTGTGTCAGGTGAACCATCACAGGTGACCCCGCCCACCACCTGTTTGACCTGCTGCCCTCTGGTCAATCAGGTCATCCAAGACACATCCACCTATCCACCTCATCAGTCGGAGCCATGATCTGAGTAACCCTCATCGCTCACTCACACTCTGTTCAGACCAAGTCGTTTTTGGTGTGGAGAAACCATAATTTCATTGTACATGTAAAAGGATAATAAAGCTTTATTCTATTTTATTCTATTCTATGTTTCATTCAGTGGTGCACTGACCTTTTATTCTGAGCCATGGGGAAAACAGAAGAATTATCAACGGATCTGCAGGAGAAGATAGTTGAACTTTATAAAAACAGCAAAAGGATATAAAGATAAAAAGATATCCAGGGAACTGAGGATGCTAACCATCAATGTCCAAACTCTAGTTAAGAGGTGAAAAATGACAGATTCGTTCAACACCAGCTGATTCAACAACTTCAGCTGATTAAAGATGCACAATAAGGAAAAAATAGGCTGCATGGTCGAGTCTTAAGAAGAAAGTCGTTACTACGCCAATGCCACAAAACTGCCCGTTTACAATAAGCCAACAGCACAGAGAAACTTCTTCTAAAATGAAGCTTCTGCAGAGGTCCTCTCCGTCTCCTGACCTCAGCATCATTCAGCCACTCTGAGGAGATCTCAGAGCTGCAGCTCCAGACAGACCCAGAAATGGTCGGCTGGACGAAGTTTTACCAAGAGGAATGGGCAGCAGCTTTAGCATCTGAGACAATAAAGTTCCCTGAACACAAATACCATAACAAGCTGTCATTAATATGAGAGGAGGCGATACATCGTGTTAAGAACCACAAACACAAACGTTTGATAATGAAGCTTCACACAGACAGAAAAGTTGTATATAATTATTCATGTTCTCTGAGGAATAATAATGATTGCATTTATATAGCGCTTTTCGAGACCCTCAAAGTGCTTTACAATACCACTATTCATTCACTCTCACATTCACACACTGGTGGAGGCAGCTACAGTTGTAGCCACAGCTGCCCTGGGGCAGACTGACAGAAGCGAGGCTGCCATATCCGCCATCGGCCCCTCTGACCACCACCAGTAGGCGGCAGGTGAAGTGTCTTGCCCAAGGACACAACGACCAGGCAGAAAAATCACAAATTCTATCAGGGTTCATAAACTGATGAGTACATCTGTAGATGGACGGAGTCTCATCTCACACTCTCACCTCTAACATGTCCGTGTCTGCGCTCTCTCAGCTGGAGAACTACAGCAGGACCTGATGGAGGCTGAGGACTCTCTGGGCTCTGTGGATCTGCTAACGGATCCATGCTATCTGTATAAATGTGTGCGTGTGCTAAGGACGTGGGAGGTGGTACAGCAGCGCTCCCTGGTGGACAGGACAGTCTACCATGAATACATCAATCAATATAAAAGTTTTGAATTGGTTTGTGTAAAGATATCTTTAAAATTAAATGTTTAACAGCATAGTTTGGGTTTTAGTACTTCAGCTAAGTTGATGATGGAAAATTTGCTCAGAACACTTTTTCACCCTTTTCAAACTGAACATCCAGAAATGTGTAATAATAACTGTTAGGTGGTGCTTGTATCATCCATCTTTCCTCACACACACTGTCAGCCAGTAAGTACTCTGCTCACATAAGCAGCTCAGTCACATCAAGTCCAGTCCACAAAGACCTCACCCACATCCACACGAGGCCCACAGGGCGGGGTAACAGGCGAAGGTCCGGGGAAGTCTGTACAAGGAGAGGAGATATACGTTAGAGAGGAGCACTAGGAGATACGAGATCACTCGGTGAACCAGGGCTACACTGACACAGGTTAGCACAACGATCCAACAAAGAAGCAAACCCCACTGGGGCCTTGAGTGGTGCAGGAGTTACCATCCGTGATGAGAGGGAGTTGAGTAGAGCTGTACAGACAAGGACAGAGGTGGGGACTGGAGCCTGACTCCGCCCTGGCGAGAAACAGCAAAACAACAAGAAACAACATCCCAGAGATCCTGGAGAGCATGACAAAAATGTAGACCATATGAATGCATCTGAGTCGTTCAGCTCAAACCTTTAAGAACATCAGGATGGGCTTTTTTCATTTTGTTTTGAACATATTCATTAAAAGAGTGACTCAATAAAGAACCTGCTCCTTACTCTGTTACATTAAAGTGCACACGAAACACACATGTATGAAGGCTAATAAGTGAGTAGAGCTGGGCGATATGAGATTTTTTCATATCACGATATGTTTTTTTCATTTCAGGCGATAACGATATCTATCACGATATAGCCAAATAACTATATTTGTAAGATTTAAATGTGCCGTTGCTCACAAGTAAAATGTGAAATAATCAGCAGCTTGTTTTTATTTAAATATTTATTTCCCATAATAAGTTCAACAGGGTAGATGTACTTAAGGAACATGAGACTTTTTCAGATAAATAAAGGCAAATATTGCAAACTACACAAAAGGCAGCCGCTAAAGCGTTTAAGTTTCAAAATAGAACAAACGAAACAGACTAAACTGTCAATTCCACTTAGAAACAAAATATTAATTCTAAAAATAAATCTTAGTTTGTTTTACAGAAGAACAGACAAAACTGACTAACTTTTGTCAATATCAAATAAACTGAGAACTAAAAGGAAATTCTCAATCTCTCCTTGTTGTATAGCTGAGCTTTTCAAACAGTTTTAACAGTTACTTTAGTCTGACAAAAGCCGAATGACGAATTAGCGCTTCCAGTCAGAGACTGAGGCTACGTCCACACGTACACGGGTATTTTTGAAAACGGAGATTTTCCGTTTTCGTTTTAAAAAATAATCCCGTCCACACATAAAGGCAGAAATGAAGGAAAACGCTGCTATGAACATGCCAAAGCAGCAGGTGGCGCTAGATTCCTAACCGTGCAGAAATGTTGGCCAATCAGAAGTCTAGAAGCCTCGGTGGGAAAAAGTAAACAAAGCTGGGGCATAGAAGCAGAACCGAGTCGTATGTGTGGAGGGACAGTAACTGTGTGTATATGTAAGCATTTAAACACTGCAGAGAGTAGAATTAACAGTATTGTAGAAATTCATTTCACCGAAACAATAACGTGGCGCACAGTGTGACGTCAAAAAATGCGCACACCTTTGACGCTGCGTTTTCTCTGTTTTTCTCGTCCACACGTAAATGCAAAAACTGAGTTTTCAAAAATATCCACCCTGGCCGGCGTTTTTAAAAATCTTCGTTTTCAGTGACCAAAAACGCCGTTTACGTGTGGACGAAAGGTGCAAACGCATAGAAAAATCTGCGTTTTCAAAAATACCCGGGTACGTGTGGACGTAGCCTGAGCATGCACCAGTTTATTGTATTTCCAGACTTGCTTTCGGCACAATTTACAGTGCACGCTACTCTGTTTTTTGTCAGACTTGAAATAGCCGAAATACCTTCACACTACGGAACTTCTATGGCTCTTCCGTTCGACAATCTCTCCGGCGTTGGAACCATCATCTGTTTTCTCTTCGGTCACGCTCGGTTGATTTTTCTAGTCGGCACACTCATTTCCTCCATTACCCGGCGGTACGGTGGCTGGCTGCTTCCCAAACAAATACACATGTGCGGCTTGGCACTTGTGCTGTACGTAACAAGTCACGTGGCCTGCGCTGTATTGGTTCGGCTCTGCGCTACTTAATTTGGATTGGCTGTTCTTTTTTTTTTCTTTTTTTTTTTTTAAGAGGACAAGAGCGGCGAGGTCTATCGCGATAGTTTAATTTTTCTATCGAGAAAAAGTTATATCGCGATACATATCGTTATCGTTCTATCGCCCAGCTCTAATGTGCAGCATGGAGCCGTGCTCTAAAATACTGCCACAGAACTCTTTCTGTGAAGCTGGATTTAAGAAATAAATGTTAAAGTTACAGTTTTTAGAGCGTGTGCCAGTAAAGGAAGTGACATCATTGAAGGAGAACAGGAACAAACTCAGTCATCCTCCTCTGTGCTCACTCAGACCTACACCATGCAGGACAATCACAGGATGCTCTTAAGCTTTATGAGCCCAGCTGCACCGTCAGTGCTGTCGAAAACCCAAACAGCACTGACGGTGCAGCAGCTCTGGAGTTCGGTGGTTTTCCTGGCTGTAGTCAGATCACATCAGACACTAATATTTGCACTATTTATTGATCAGGAAATTATCAGCTCAAAAAATAAATGACTAAATACTGACAGATGGCTGTTTCTCAACTCAGACGTCCACATTATTCTGAATGACAGTTAAAAACTTGAAGATGTTTGGTTTACGGTCATGTGTGATGAGGAATAATCAATAAATGGATTGAGCATTTATTGATTATTCTGATTGTAATCATCTGTATTCTTTTTTTTCTGTCCAGATTTTAATCTTATAGTTTCTATGACAGACTGTAAAAATCATACAATAAGCTCCACTTATTGTATGATTTGCTATTTGTAATCATGTTGTGGATAAATGGATGAAAAGGTAAACGGCACAAAAGGAAGAGCTGGAGGAGCGTAACCATGGCAACATGATTGGGTATAAAAGAGGCAGAGGTTCGCTAATCTTCAAAAAACTGTGTCTGGAAAATGTGGAACAATTCTTCTTGATGTGAAATTGTGAATCATCTACAGTAATATTATCATCAAAGGATTCAGAGAATCTGCAGGAATCTCTGCGCAGTGAACGGCTGAACATCAGTGAACGGCTGTGATCTTCAGACCTGTATGAAGGTTAATGAACCGCATGGAGACAAACTCTCACTGTCTGTCTGTGAAGGTTCTCAGTCATCGCAGTCTAAAGCGTTTGGAAACAAAGGGATCTTTAAGTTTCCGGGTCGGTTGCTACTAACAGACTTACATTTTTTTTATTTTTGCTCACAAGCGACAGAACCGATACGTACGAGCGATGAACGCTGAATGAGGCGTGAAAGAAACTCAGAGAGCTTTTTCAGGGGGATGATGAAATGAAAGTAAAACATATGTAAATCCAAAGCATCTGACCTCAGCCTGTGTTCCACATCTCTCTAGATTACACACAACATCCACGAGCAGGAAGTCCTCATCAATAGTTCCTGTTCCAAAAACACATCGAACAAAAGGTCAAAGGTGGCTGCAGGAGACCGCTGAGGACAGTTTGTGTCCATCTCGTCTTTAACAGAGTTTAAATGTGTTTTTCAGCCCTGAATATTTTATGTGGATATCTTCTGTACTGATGATGTTACGTGTGACGGCCAGTGGGCTGGCCTTGTGTTTCGCTTTTTCTGTTACCTGTTTCTTGCAGGTAGGTGGAGCTGACCCAATTATAGATGCAGCACACCTGAGAAGGTCAGTCCCAGTGTGTATAAAGACACCTTGACTGAACCAGCGGGGTCTCTGGCTCTCGCTGGCTCTCTCCGTCTGGATGGCTGTTATATCATTTCAATTGTGTTTAAGTTTCTTCACCTTATCGTCATTAAAGATATCTCACAGCCTTTAAAGCCTGTGTGTGGTCTCCCACTTGCTTGTCACGTCCTTGAGCCGGGTTGTGACATATGAGAGATCAAAAATGTTGGAAAAAATAATAATTTCAGATTAAATTTTGATCTTAAAGTTCCAGAAACAGGCGAATGTTATCATTTGTATATTACTGTATATTTAACCTTTCAATGTCACAGTATTGTCCGATGCAGCTACTGAGAGACGTTACTTTGCAGACGCTCACATGGATCCTGCTGCTGTCTGCAGGTGTTTAACAAGCAAACATCTGCTAAACTCTATGTGTCTATGTAATCTGCTAAATGAATTACTAATGAGTTTCATTAGCCTGCTGTCTGAGCTGCAGTCGGGTTTAACTTCATTAACACTTGAACCTGTAACAGAAGTGGAAACAGTGAAATAGAGGTAGATGACAGGAGTTTGGTGGTTTTGCAGGGGGAAGTGTGTCTTCTTTCTTTCCCTGTGTGATGTTTATCAGTGCTGGTGCTGAAATATGGAAGCTGATGTTTAGAGTATTTCCTGTGTGAGGGCGTTCAGGCTTTGTCCCATTTGCATGGGCAGTGTAACAGCCCTGGACTGTGGGGGTGTGGTCTGAATATAAGCCTGGTGATCAGAGATCACTCACACTCCTGACAGGAAGCATCAGCCTCCACCTGATCATGCAGACACAAAGAAACAGGAGAGGATATATACAACACTTCATAAACTGTAAGCATCTGTGGCTGAATGAGCTGAAGAAGCTCGCTCATGACTTGAAGAACCCGTATCTCCTAAAAGAAAACGTCCCTGACTACCCCCGACCCGAGTTTCACGTGTCTCACCTGAAACACGACACAGAGCGAGGGGCTTTATGTTGGATCAGGACAGACGGCGGCTTCAAGGATCCTCACAGAGGCTTCAGGGATCCACACAAATGGTCCCTGGTGTGGTGGAGTCTGGCTGTGGGGCCCGAGGAGATCCAGGCGGCCGAGACGAGGCTCCTGGAGAAGACCTACCCAAACCGGACGAAGGAGCAGGCTGTGAAGCAGCAGAGCTTCCTGTGGAGATTTGCCACCTCTCCGGCCTTCAGTGAGAAGTCCAGGTATGGATCGTACCGCTTCACCTTCCCCCTGCAGGACGTGCTGAGCGCCTACAGCCAGCAGGTATGTTTACATTTACAGAGGGGGGAATTTTTTCTTCCTGAAGATACAAACATTATTCAAAACTCAACAACTCTTTATCCACAACAGTCTGAGTTTGTGTCAAAGCTACACACTAAAAATAATAAACACCGTGTGACCAGGAACAATCTGTCAGCTTTTCTCTCTGTGTGTTATCAGTACATCATGTACATTACCTCAGGTGTGTGACAGGTGTGAGTCTCCCACTGAAAGACCTTCTGTTGTGTCCAGTTTTGCTTTGGAGCTCCGCCCATCATGAGAGTGTTCAGGACCTGCCTGTTCAAAAAGAAAGTGCAGTACTCTGTGTTGGTCCACAGCCCAGCCAATCGCGAGCTCTTCTCAGAGTTTCCATTACTTCCTGGTAATGACCCGAACGCTGTCTGCGCGTACAGAGACGGACGCTTCATCTGGAGGTCGGAGGCCATGTGTGAGACACACAGGTGAGAAACACAGATAAACGCTCACAGACAAAGGAAGAGGGTCAACAAGTTATTGTCTGTGCTCATGCTGAGCAGCAGGGAAGAACACCTGGGCTTCTTGGAGACTCTGGGATGGTAGGAACACTTGGATGTAGGAGACAGGAACAGCCTGAGCTAAACCAGAGTGGTGTTGGTTTTTCACCCATAACATCCTGTTACAGGATAAGGTTGCTCCAGAATGCACTTGTACCAGGACACGCTGTGTTCAGGTCAGTGATCAGCTTAGTTGTCGTACATCTGATCTGAGGCATCCAGGTCGGTGCAGAGCTTTTTGGACCATGACACCATTTGTAGTTTTGCGTGTGTCATTTTAATTCCAACAATCAAGATGTGACTGAAGTGCACGCTTTCAGTTTTAATTCAGCGGGTTTCACAAAAGTAAAAATGTGTTAGGAGTTAGAGTCACTGCCCTGAGTCAGAGAAATCATGTGCCTCATTCACAAGTGATGGGAAGGTGGAGGATGGGGTTGGGGGGGGCATCCTCAGTAATGTGCACCAGACCTTTGTGATGGAGCTAAATCTGAAGGCAAATACATTCAATCTACATTGCAGCCCTCAAATATCATGAGCGTGCTGCCACTATAACTATGGTGGAGGAGTCTCTGCATAGACAATCACCAAATTTTAAAAAGCTTCCTCCTGACATCCAGTCAGCTGATCTTTTCCAATAATTTTATGTATATATTTAAGTATATTTAAGACTTTTACTGTCTGCTTTACGTGGAGTCAGATAATACTGCCACACTGATACTGTTTGTCTTTGGCCTTCCTCTCAGGTACGAGCTGATCCACAGACCTGATGCAAGTCAGATGGACTCTCTGGAGCTGTTTGGACAGCCTGAGTTTTATCTTTGGGATAATGTTGCCATCGCCCTGCATGTGGAGAACGGACAGGTGGTTATGAGATAATCTGGCTGTAAATAACAATTAAAAATGCATCCACCTTTGTGCTTAACGACAATAAATGTCCATTCCCCAAAAAGTGCTATAAAAACTTTATATATTCATATTTTTTTTCACTTTAAATTGGTCAGTCTTTTAAAACTACTTCTCCCTGAAATATTCATATAAAGTTTTAATTATATTTTCGTTGTTTTAACCCTTTAAATCCCAGTTGTATTACATGAGCGCACTGTTTTTTAGCCCCAAAAAACTAAAAAACTAAATATTTTCCAAAAAAAACATTTGAAGTAATATTTGATTGTTATTATAATTAGGCCTTTAGATGGTCCAAAGATCGGCACCAAAATTAATTTCGATCTACTTTTAAAAAAAAATTCCGGAACCGAAAATAGTCTCCAGGCGGTCAATGCTGGTCCTCTAGGCCGAAATTAGTGCCTCTTCCCGGGGTAAGTTGCGACGAAGAACCGGGGCATGTTGCGTGGGACTCCTTTCTCCAGCAGACACGTCCATACCACGTGACAACAAATACGTCATTTCCTGTTGATTGAAAAAAAAAAATCCACCCTCTCATGTCGGTGAGAGGGTGGATTGGTCTCGCCCGATCAGCGGGCATAGCCGGTGATGCAAGCCGGAAATCAGACTTCCTTTCCCGCAGTTCAGTTCTGCAGCCCGCTGTTTTCGAGCAGAGGTCAAATGTGAAGCAAGGGCGCCACTCGGTGGACAAATAAAAAAATTACAACTCTAAGGTCTCTAGTTAAAAACGAAACCTAAGGTGGAAACCTGACGATCCCTTAAACCGTAATTTTTCTGGCGTGAAAAATAGCGTTTATAATGGGTTTCAATGGGACAATTTTTGTCCAAAGGCACAAAGGTGGATGCATTGCTGTAGCTTAGCCATTTTAGGCTAATTTAATGAATTTACACCACAATTAAACAAAAAAAGTAAAAAAAAAATTCTTTGACAAATTTGGCTTTAATCCACTCAACACAGTGAAAATGGTTTAAAACTAAAAATTCAAAAGACAATAAATGTCCTTAAGACCCTCCAGGGGTATATGGGCAAAAGGAATTATGTAAATCATGCAAGAAGTGAAAATATAATAATAGTGTAATTTATGAGGACAAAATTGAATGATTTCACTAAAAG